ACATAGTTTATGTTTTGACAGTAAACGACATCTTGACTAAAACAGAAAAGTTTATCATAAATTAAATTATTTTCATTAAGTCATAGCAATAAAAATGTTATCTCTATTTTGCAAAAACGTTACGTGGATTTTTAATGGTTAACCGGAAAATGATCTTTATGTCATTTACACACACGAGATATCCGGTTAACTGAATAAATGGAAAATAGCTATAATTTCTATGTAACACTCGGACTCCCTTGTATAATGAACCATCATGTAAATCTTCGTAATAGACAGCATCATTACTTAGGATTCCTAAGTTAATATATCTGTACAGTACCTTGACTATCTTACCACAGTAACACACACCTTAGGCGAAACACAACTAATTTTATCATAAATACACATAATTCCGTCAAGTTGTTACACTAAAACAGAGTTATCCCTACCTGCCCCATACTCAAAACACCTCATCAGTTACGTACAGTAGCAAGATACAGTCCCGTAACTTACAGGCCCGTAAATTTCCCATACTCAAAATTTAATCACAGTATGCAGTCCGTAACTTTCGTGTTTACCCTGTAAATTCAGTTCTCTTGTCCTAAGGTAGATGGCAGTGCAGGAGCTAGTTGGCCAATCGGTGCTCAGTTAACAAAATCATCAAACAATCACAAGAGAAAGAGAAATCAGCCGAGTTAAACACACGAGATAGTAGTTTGTAAACAAAAGATCTTCAAGAGTGAAGTGCTTCCCCATCTAGAGTACTGTCACCCCGTCTGGTCCCCGAGATATGTTATGGACTGAGTTGGTTGAAAATGTTCAAAGGAGGGCCACCAGACTGGTGCCTGCACTTCGGCACCTCAGCTACCCTGAGAGATTGGATCGCATGAACTTGCCTAGCTTATACTACAGACGGGCAAGGGGTGGCCTAATTGAGGTGTATAAGCATCTCAAGGGGCATTACTCAGTCGAGTGTCCTTACTTGGAGCTGGCGGACGCTCGCCCCACAAGGGGTCACAACTCAATATTGAAGAAGCCGCAAGTCCAGTGAACTGTGAGGGCAAACTTTTTCGGAGTGAGGGTTGTGAACTCTTGGAACAATCTACCAGAGAGTGTTGTGACGGCACCGAGTGTGAACTCTTTCAAGACAAGACTTAACCAACACTGGAGCAGGTTCAGGTACATTCAGGAGCCGGTGCATGCCCAGTACTTGCTAACAGTGCGTAAAAGAGACGTGACCGATCGCCCAAGCGGCTAACGAGCCGATCAGTGGTGAAGAGGATAAAAGTAAAAAAGTAAAAGTAAATCTTACTTTTGAAATATAATGAATTTGTGTATACAGGTATTTAAAAAAAAGATAAACAACATTAGTAAGTTGGTTTAATTTTTAGCTGACTTATTGCTTCCCTAAGTTAGATGATATTAAATGTTGTTATAAATCATATTTTAATTGAAAATTTGATGAGTGAAAATATAAGAAATTTACCGCCTGGAACTAAATGCTCTATATTATAATTAAATCCATTTATAATATTGTAACGAAGTTTCATTTCGTTGATATTTACAATTAAAACAATATTTTATACACATACTTTTGGATGCTCAACACTATTTTTCAGACTATATTTTTTCTATAAACTGAAATATATTTTTTAATGTAATATTTTCAAGCATACCCTAAACATAGACTTAAATCAAGCTATTCTATATTTTTTCCAGAAGAAGAAAGAGAACAAACTCCCGGACCACCAGGACTTAGGTTTACGGCTCTTCATTCAAGAGAGGAATCTACGTTTAGGCCGTTCAAGAGAAAGAGGATTCTCTGACCATCTTGCTGACCGAGGATATACAGGAACATGATATAACAGTACCCATTGTGCTTTTAGAACCTGAAACTTCATCACATCAAAACATTCAGGAATCTTCATCATCCAGAACATATGTTGTAGAAAGATGTAGCTCAAGCAGGAATCGTAAACCTCTTGCTGCCACCACGGAACAGTGAAGTAGGTCTTATACCCCTTCTGCCACAGCTGATGATAACCAGACTAGGTCAACCTTAACTGGTGATACCACTGATGAACCGGGTTCATCTCCAAGACCAAGTACAAGTCATAGGAGCAGAAGTGGCAGCAGGCCACGAACCCCTTCTGCCCTAAAAGATGCAAATGTTATTCCGGAGGTGCTTCAGGTTCGGTCACAATTGAGGGACAGTTTGGTAGAGCTTGTTAATTCTGTTCAGGAAGTTGCAACCAACACTGACAAAATTTCATCCAACATAGTTAAACTTGTAGCTAACACCGAGTGCATCTGTACTACAGAGCATTGCAAAAGCTGTGCAGTCGAAAATTCCTACCCCCATGATACTGTTTGTGTTTAGGATATGGGTATGTGGAATTGTTTACTTCTCCTAGAAGTTCTTTACTTTTGGTCAGTGTGATAATAGGGTAGTTGAAAAGTCATCACACACTTATTATAACTTTTCCTTTGAGTGATTGTTATGAAAAAAGTCAGGGCATGTTAAATAATTGTGTAACTTTCACTTGCAGCCTATACTAGTCATAAGAATTTAACAGGAATATTAACCTCTCCATAAGTGAGTTAAAATTGCAAAGGTAAGTGAAAGACACACACTTGTAAACTATTAACATGTGTTGCAGTGCTCATACGGATATAGTTTACCCAGGTTTTGGGTAAAAGCTCATAATCAAATGTATAGCTTAGAAACCAGTCAAGTACCTTACAGTCTCATAATAGGCGTAGGCTATTGGTTGAATATACCCCCCAAAAAGGCGAAGTCTAGGTATGAATGTTCACTTGACCTTATATTTGGCTTTCATTACCTAGGGATATTTACGACTATACAATATTAATAAGGTCTATCTGCAGGTTTACTCAGTCATAAAAAAATATTTGTACCATAAGTGTGGACAATACAAACCTTCTGTTTTGGTAAAAAAATACTTGAAAAGTTGTAAGAAGACAAAAGCTGTGTCTCTTCCATTCCGCGATAAATAGAAACAACTCGCGGAGCTCTCCAACATCCAAGTACATACGATAGCCTACATGTGGGACAACTTGAAGCTGGGAGTAATCTCCCACGCCGAAATTGCCCACAAGGACGCAAAAGAGCTGGACCAACTACTTGAGGGACAACTCAGCCGTGTCAAGAAGCTGTACGACACCACTGCCCTCGTCGGACACCACGAAACCCTGCCCAAAGAGGCTTAACTGGCGTGGGTAACCGTGCCAGTCAAACCCTACTGCAGACCCAAACGCTGTTACAAATGCCAGCACTACGGTCACACTATCAACAAGTGTGAGGTGCAGGAGGACATATGCTCCCTGTGCGGTACCCCCCGGACACCGCTACACCGCCTGCTCCAATACAGAGAAAAAATGAGCTGCCTGTGGCGGCCCACACTCCTCTGCCGACCTGCCCCAAATGGAATGCAGGATAGCAAAGGTTCGACTCGAAAAGAAACTGAGTTACAAGGAGGCCCTCCTTGCAGTACACGCCCAAGACAAGAAAAAACGAGAAACCAAGAAACAAGAAGGAAAGAAAAATCAAGAAAAGAAGACCCAAGAAAAGACACATGGGGCAGAACACCTCATCACGATCACCTCCTCCAGGGCACGACGAAGAACAGGACCTAGACGCTAGCGAATGGACGGTCCAAGAGAGCAAAAAGAGGAGGAAAAGAAGATCGTCAACTTCAAGCTAACAAGAAGACCAAGATATTTCCATCGAACAGCCCGTCCATCAAAAAAGCAAACAATACCAAGAAAACACCACACCCAATCAAGCAGACCAAGTACTGAGAAACCATTGCCCAACCTGACACGCACCTGACGTTTGACCTGACGTTCACCTGACTCATGGTCCTGCCCTCTCCCCGCCGCGTCCAGGCAAGTTGCTGGCTTGCTGCTACCTCAAACTTACAACCCCACACCACGCAAGCTGTGTTAAGCCACGACATCTGTCCTCTCCCACTAAAATTCCCTTCCATTCTCTCTCTAAACTTCCACTGAACCTCCTTCCCCCGTGTCACTAAACTTTAGTCTAGTCTAGTCTAGAAACACTGAAACCTCTTCTTATCGTAAAAAAAAAAAAAAACTAAAAAGACAAACTAATATCGTATTTTAGTATTTTGATGTACAAAACATTTTCTTCATTATTCTATGATAAAACAACTCTAACAAGCATTATTACAACGTATATTATTAATTTTTCAAATGCACTCGGGAAATAGCGACTACTATATCTGGGTTGAGAGTGCTACAGCACCTCCTTAGGTGCTGTAAGTTACAGGCTCACTTAAGGAGTCCGCTGCCAAATATTTGTTTTGACTATACTGATCGGAGACTGTAATTCCAGTTACAAGGAAAATAAAGAGTTACACTCCCATAAATGTTTTTGAGTATGTGGCTGGTAGATGTTGGCAAGGTTTTAATACACACATTTGTTATAATTTGTTCTGTTTCATTAAGACGTCGTTTACAATCATAAGAGCCTTGGGTAAGTTAAGTTATTGTAGGTCAGTGTTGATGCCATTCATTTACAGTTTTTTATGATGGTTTATGAGCAAAGCGGTCTAGTGGATACAGTGCTCACCTCTTGTACCAGGGGTCGGTGGTTCGATTCCCGGGCGGTCCCAGTTCACTCAGCTGTAAATGAATACTGTACCTAAGTTTGCAACTTTGGGGAAGTGAATGCGCCCGAGTGTAGTACCAACCATGCTGCCTTCTTGTGCACCGAAGGCAGTGTATATATGATCATCTTTTTTAAAGAATTTTTCCTCAAGCGAATATGAATTATCACTATTTTACCATTACCCCTATTCAGTCTGACACACACACACACACACACACACACACACACACACATATATATATATATATATATATATATATATATATATATATATATATATATATATATATATATATATATATATATATATATATATATATATATATATATACCTCTTCAAACTTATATACTAGCCAATAACTACATCTTTCTCTTGAGTAAAAGATCTACACCATAAAACAAGACATTCTCGACCTAGAATCATGTTGCAAGAATGACTCTGACGCCGAGAGTCAACAAGGCGGCGAGTATGAGCGAGGGTACTGGCGGGAGGCAGAGGGTGGTGGTTGGGGCCCCGCTGATGTACTCCATGCGGTGATCATTACACAGGTCGGTGCCGCAGGTGCGGTAGCAGGCTATGAGGCGCTCCACACGGTTGTTGGTCAGCTTCTCGAAGTGGACGCCGCAGAAGTGTGACATGTTGGTCTCCGTACACGCCCGAAACAACACCTGAGCCTGGCCTGTCGGGACATACTTATATGTTAGCATGAGAGAGAGATATTGCTCCAGGTTCAAAGCTTCCAGTAATAGGTAGGCAAATATTATCTTTGTATACTGAGGGAAAAGCCTGAGGAAGATTGACTTTCCTGAAGCTGGTGAACATTGTGTTGGTCAGGCCTATGTTAGAGATAAAATGATAGTCTTTTTAATAGTAATAGTAGTCATATTATTATTAGTAGTAGTTGTTACTGCCACAGTAGGAGAAACTAGAAGGGAGAAAGAGAGAGAGGGATAGAGAGAGAGAAAGGGAGACAGGAGAGACACAGAGGGAGTGTTGACAACGAACTTTACTGAGGTGTTAAATGTGAAACAGATGGCCCTCGCCTCGGGCTGACTAGCTCGACTAGTCTCCAGCTGTCCAGTGAGCTATCAAGTCAGAGCTAATAAGTCCTACATTAGACCCGAAACACGTAAGTTTTTATATGATTTAACACCCCACTCTACTCAAATTTATTATATGTAGTCGTTAATAGTGAAGGAACGTACGAGTGAATTAATTATCTCATATGTAACATAATTATGTAATTTGTACTCTGCAGGTTTTGATCTAATAAAGAACAATCGAGTCCTACGTGCAAAGGTCTCATTATCCCACAGTCGCTCACCGGGCGGTTACAGTAGTAGTAGTAGTAGTAGTAATCGAGAGTATAGTGTGACTAGGCTATACAACATCCTCGTTCTAAGGTTTCCCAGGGGACGCCTCGCTCAATGGCTTTGACTACAACCAAGGTCAAATTGACCTTGACTACAACAAACGTCTGATCTCTCTCTGCGCCTTGTACACATGTTGAGGAAAAATCTTAGTGGCTGTTAATATAAATGAAATATATATTGTTTGTATTGTTAAGTGTAGGAGAAATACCTCATACAGTCGTTCTCTGGAGGTGTTTTAAATTGTTACTTTATCTCATTGTTTATCGTAGTTGTTCTTTTAATATTCTACTTATGACGGAATTATTTTTGTTATTTTAAGTTTTAGGGAAGTAATGTTGATTGTGATTTTATAATTATATGTACATGTGCTTTATTTTAATGATTTCTTCCAGTATTTAACTTGTTCCATAAATACTCTTGATATTAATATTAATATCTTTATTGTTTACATAAAAAGTGTGTGTGTGTGTGTGTGTGTGTGTGTGTGTGTGTGTGTGTGTGTGTGTGAGAGAGAATAGAGACATACAGTAAACTGATTTCACAACACAATTTTTTGCAGTTTAGTTTCTGGAGGTCTCGGTATGTGTCGATACTCTACGAAATTCGATTAAGTTTAAGCCTGTGTACCAACTTTGGGGAATGGACTTTGTCAGTATGGATTTACTCTACGAATCTACTTTGTATATACTTCTAAATACAAATTGCAACGAGTTAAAAAAGAAAGCTCTTCATCGTCTTACATTACTGGTCCCTGTCAATATTTTGCCATCCGCCAACTTTCCTCTCTGATGCTTTCTGCTCCTCACTAAGGTTAGGTTATGAGGGAATATGGTGAGAAGTCAGCGTGGAACAAGAGCCTCAGATCTTCCTATATTGGATCCCAGTAGTGAGGCGCTGTGCTGTTGGCTGGGTGATTGAACCTCTACACTGTCTTTTTTAATATCAGAAAGAAGGCTAGGGTAAGTACACAAAGGAAGCAAGTTACCTGCTTGCCGGTTTTCAGCGCCTACCAGAGCCGGCAGTCAGAGCTGGTAGGCGGACACAGAGGACGCAGGTTTATCTGCGAGTTGAGGTCCAACTGTCGTACAGGAAATATGTCTAGCTAGCCGTCTGACGAATATTTTCTTTTGCTCGATAGTGATTATGTAAAAATCAGGAGGAAAATAACTGGAATACATGAAATCAAACGTAGTAAAGAAAATTATGGTGAATATCACCATATTTTTGGTGAGCTACAAAGAGGCCCGAGGGTTTTTTATTTTTTTCAATACATGAGAATGACCTTGGTAACTTTCGACTACATCTTGAAGAAGGTTAAGCATCGTTTGACGAAAACATGGTGTAACTGGCACACCTCGCACCGCCTCAACATTACCTCGACCAGCGAGGGCAAGCGGCGAGAAAAGAATGTTTTGTTCATTCTGGTAAATTTGTCAGGGCGGGCAACCAGCGCCGACGGGCTTCAACAGGCTTCTACTGTGTGCTGCTGCGCTTAATAGCGTGGTCACATACATGACGCATGTCAGCGCCGACCTGCTTTCTTTGTGTTCTAACTATAGTGTGTTGGCTGTGACTTACACCAGCTTGTGACGAGAGTGAATGGGAGGGAACAACAAAGGACTATACTATAAAAACATCGCTTGTAGTTCCTCTTTATCATTGTGTTTATATACTTAAGGTAAGTGCTGGACACAATAAAGGCTTGGAGGGGAGGGTACAGGGGTGCCAGGGAGTGTACAGGGGTGCCAGGGAGGGTACAGGGGGTGGCAGAGGGGAACAGGGGTGGAAAGAAGGGTACAGGGATGATGGGGGAACAAAGAGTGCCAGGAAGGATACATAAGGTGGCAGGGAGGGTATAAGGGGTGGCGGGAAAGGCAAGGACGCAAGGTCCTCACCTACATAATTATGCCTTTAAGGAAGTTGGAAGTAACACACGCTGCGACTCCTGTTGGCTGTTGGGTCGTCAAAATCCTTCGTCCTTTATCATTTTGTCTAACACATAATTGTAAAGTGTCAAACAGCTTCCTAAGTATAATACTATATATATATATTTACCAACAACAAAGTAAACACAGTTATGAACGTAACTAACTACACCTAACTAAAGTGACCCGACGTATTCTAAAGTGACAAACCTCAATGAACATAAACATGATTGAATGTAATAATGACAGTTTAATACCAATATAACTTGAGAGTAATGTTTTCTTCTCTTATATTTTCATACTTCAATATACAGTATAATATAAAGTTGTAGTGTGAGTATTAATGGATTTATAGCGTTGAATTTAATCTTCTTTGTACGATAGTTAAAACAAGGTGCATAAAATTCAAAACAACGATATTTTCCCACCGTGTGAGGGAGCGCTGTTGCTGCTGCATCATTCTTTTCCTTCTCTCTTTCTTTTTCCCCCACTGTGTTAAAACTTGGTCCAGTAAACTCGGCACCACACAAAGGCAATAACGACGAAAGGTTTTACAAATTTATCAGGCAAGTTCGAATTACACGTGTTGTTTTCCTTCACTGATTGACTAACACTGTGTTCTATCTACATCACAAGATCATCACTGCTCTGTTGCTGTCATAAGGATCCTGTTATTGTTGTCAGATGAAGACAAGTGTTCCTTCTGCTTCTCTGAGATCACCAGCGTCCTGTCAGAGGCCTGTGTCTGTCTGTCTGTCTATTATACTCTACGATCTGTCACAATTTTAATGAAATAAGCGACAACGAAGACACCAAACGACGAAAATTACACCTTGACGTGGTTGTTTTCAGACTAATAAAAACCATCCAGTCTGATACATTTCTACCCCCAGTGTCTCTCTCTTCTGTTCCACCGAGAACCAGAGTAGTGGACAGAGAACACAACACACAGCTAGACCTCAGTAATTGAATAACATATAGCAACAAGTTGACCGACAAGGAGGTCTTATGTTCATTCTTTAACCTTGAAGTGTGACGAAGTTTGATGTTACAGTGTTGAGGAGGAGGAGGAAGAGGCGTGTGAGAGTGTGTGGGTGAAAATAACGTGTTAAAAGCTCTCGAGTTTGTTTATTACATGGTGACTGTCTTAATGAACAAAAGTTATCACCAAAGCTTAGTCATTATGATCAGGGAGTGGCAACGAGAGGCGAGGTCTAGTAGCACTGTAGTCACCATTATGTAACTGTAAATCATGGCTGAGGAACCCCCACCACCATACACCATCACCCATGACTTGAGAAACCCACTACCATAACCATCACCCATGACTTGAGAAACCCACCACCATAACCATCACCCATGACTTGGGAAACCCACCACCATAACCATCACCCATGACTTGAGAAACCCACCACCATAACCATCACCCATGGCACCACCACCATAGCAGAGAAACCCACCATAACCATCACCCATGGCTTAAGAACCCACCACCATAATCATCCCCATGACGGAACCCACCATAAAAAAGACTTCACTTCTCGTATTCATTCAGCACTTACCATAACCATTTATACACCACATAAAATTAATTTTTTCCACCGGTTTCATTTTTTTTACCTGAATTGACCGTCACTGATAAAGTATGTTTGAGAATTATAAAGAAAAGGACAAAATTTTATGTTTATTCAGATCACATAGCAAATACTAATAATCCCTTGAGCTTTACGTGTGTGTGTGTGTGTGTGTGTGTGTGTGTGTGTGTGTGTGTGTGTGTGTGCGTTTAAGGACATCTCATAAGTGTGTATTAATTGTAGGCTGTATTGTTTAAGTGTTTTGTTTAGTGTCAGGTTTTGTATGGATGTATTAAGTCTATATATATTGTGGTGGATTTCATGACGTGAGAGAAATACAGTAATTTTGACATTTTGTTTCTGTGATCAATGCGGTGCCAGTTGACAGTGTAACGATGCTATTTTTTACCTCTATGTCGCCTTGTTTCTAACTTTGTGGGTCGTTTGTATAATTTCCTTCATCTCTGGGGTCGTGTTTATAGTTCTCTTCATCTCTGGAGTCGTGTTTATAGTTCTCTTCATCTCTGGGGTCGTGTTTATAGTTCTTTTCATCTCTGGGGTCGTGTTTATAGTTCTCTTCATCTCTGGGGTCGTGTTTATAGTTCTCTTCATCTCTGGAGTCGTGTTTATAGTTCTCTTCATCTCTGGGGTCGTGTTTATAGTTCTCTTCATCTCTGGGGTCGTGTTTATAGTTCTCTTCATCTCTGGGGTCGTGTTTATAGTTCTCTTCATCTCTGGGGTCGTGTTTATAGTTCTTTTCATCTCTGGGGTCGTGTTTATAGTTCTCTTCATCTCTGGGGTCGTGTTTATAGTTCTCTTCATCTCTGGGTCGTGTTTATAGTTCTCTTCATCTCTGGGGTCGTGTTTATAGTTCTCTTCATCTCTGGGGTCGTGTTTATAGTTCTTTTCATCTCTGGGGTCGTGTTTATAGTTCTCTTCATCTCTGGGGTCGTGTTTATAGTTCTCTTCATCTCTGGAGTCGTGTTTATAGTTCTCTTCATCTCTGGGGTCGTGTTTATAGTTCTCTTCATCTCTGGGGTCGTGTTTATAGTTCTCTTCATCTCTGGGGTCGTGTTTATAGTTCTCTTCATCTCTGGGGTCGTGTTTATAGTTCTCTTCATCTCTGGGTCGTGTTTATAGTTCTCTTTCATCTCTGGGGTCGTGTTTATAGTTCTCTTCATCTCTGGGGTCGTGTTTATAGTTCTCTTCATCTCTGGGGTCGTGTTTATAGTTCTCTTTCATCTCTGGGTCGTGTTTATAGTTCTCTTCATCTCTGGGGTCGTGTTTATAGTTCTCTTCATCTCTGGGGTCGTGTTTATAGTTCTCTTCATCTCTGGGGTCGTGTTTATAGTTCTTTTTCATCTCTGGGGTCGTGTTTATAATGTCCTTTATCTCTCCTTCAACATGCCGGGCGGTGTTCCAATTGAAGCCGACACTAAGGGCCAATTGCAAGAACAGTCGTTGGGTGTACGACGCCATTTACGATGACCTTCTTGCCCTGATCTTGTTTCAGGAATACCACCGTTTTGAAGCTCTGGGGAGATCTCGAAGTTTCGATATTTTGAGTACTACTAGCTAATAATTCCACCAGGAAACTTGCTTCGAGACTCCTCCAAAGCTTCGAAAAGTGCAGAATTCCATGTGTTAAAGGCGATATTGCTGAAAAAGACCAGGGCAAGAAGGTCATCGTAAACGGCGTCGTACACCCAACGACTGTTCTTGCAATTGGCCCTAAGACCCACCCTCCCCCACCCAGACCCGCCCTCCCCCACCCAGACCCGCCCTCCCCCACCTTCTCCCATCCAGATCCGTCCTCCCTCACCCACTACTATGCCCTCAAGGTTCGGCCCACCTCATTCTAACGAAGATATTATGTATGCAGATGACACCACTGAAATAACAACACATCAAGAAAAATCGCGAGCGTTACAGGCCGACAACACCAGGCGGGAATTAGAAAGGGTAAATTATTACGAAAAACAATGGAAAATCCAAACCAGTCTCCCAAAATTCACAGTGATACCCTTATGCAGAAGGAAAACCCATCCATTAGTAACCAATAATGCCCAGATAGAATATAAAAGTAGAAGGACCCTCCTGGGCCTGCATATATCCACGACAGGTTACTCCCATCATGTCCACAGCAGGAAGGAAAAAGCAAGAAGAGAGCTGAGAAAACTATACCGCTTTAAAGCGCTTCCCGAGAAAATAAAACTCCGCCTGGTGACATCATTTATCACACCGATATTAACTTACCCAGCAATACCTCATCATACTATGAGCACCACTCAAATATTAAAATTACAGGTGGTTCAAAATGAAGCCCTAAGATTCGTCACAGGCGAAAGATACCCTTTCACCAGAACCACAGCCGAGATACATAGAGACCTGAGAATGAAACCCACCAACCAGCAGCTGCACACCCTGGCCAGCAGAATCCGGCAAAAGATAGAACGATCAGAACAAGAACTCCTTCAACGACTCCCACCAGATAACGACAACAACCATACATGGTTCCCAAAAAGTTACCAAATCTCAAAAGGTCCATTACCACCCCCGATCTACACGGCCAGGCAATAGACAACCTCCCTAGACCAACATCCGCCAGTAGGGTTGGCGGAATATGAAATAAGGCCCTTAAAACACCCATGTATGGGACAGGGTAGGCTGTCTAGTGCCTGTACCGACATACAATAACTAACCCATGACACAACCCTAACACACTATTAGCTTAGCTAGGAGGTCAGCCCGCCCTCTCTTACCTCCTCCTAAACTTCTTCAATTTCCGAACTATAACTTCCTTCCCCCACCTCTAATCTTCTTTCACCCCTTCTTTCTCTACAAAAAAAAACAAACAAAAAATCATTATTTCCTCCTCTACGCCTCAACTCCCCCAAAGACCAACCCAAGTGAGGCACCTTTTTCTTAACCATTAGAGAGAGAGAGAGAGAGAGAGAGAGAGAGAGAGAGAGAGAGAGAGCATTGAATTGCCAGTAGGTGTATGACAACGCCATCTGAGGCTCGTGAGTGACTTTAAATACTTTAATACTTTCGTGTAACATTAACGGAGTTATATGTGTTTAAAATAACTATATGTAGTTGTCTGAAAACATACTTGGTTACATTCTGTGTTATGATATACATACTGATGTATATATATTTGTCAGGCTACATCGGGATAGATTGGATGTGGTGATTATTGAGTTGATGGGATTAGTTAACATGTAATTAGGTTCACGTGATTAATTTTAGTAGCAAATCGCGACACAATTGACCAAGTGTTATCATGGCAACAGTTCGCGCAATGATACCAGATTAAAAAAAAAGAAGAAAAATAGAATCTTCGACTACTAAGAAAAGCGATGACATGAGGCAGTCTCCATCAGTAACTACATTATTTCATAGTAACAACATAACTAATTCGATATTTACCCTGCCAAGGTATTTGTTCGCAGGCGGGCCAGATTTGCTTCCCATATAAGTGTGAACGAGAGAACTTTGAGGTTGACTTCAGACGCCACCGCCGACGAGGCAACTGAGTCGAGAACTGGACTAAGGCCGACCTGTGGATCAGACTCGGTGAAATAAACACTGAGGTTGGCGTCTCCCAGGGAAGTGTTGTGACTATTACCCACGAACATTTGGATATGTCTAAGAATTTTGGCAAGATGGGTTTCCCGTAACATCAGTGTTAAGGATATATACCAGAGAACGGCCTTTAGTCGTGACCTCCTTGGACTGCACAAAGACAATCCATAATTTTCTTTCCCGTCAAGTGTCAGGAGAGCTCACCATACATTACGGAGACTCTTAAATCAAAGATGGATTCCACACAACAAAAGTACCTGAATTTTTTTGTTAATCTTCTGCCGGCAAGATCATGATGACCTCGACTTCCTGGGATGCCAAAGGGATTCTGCCCATCTACTGCCTGCCACATAAAACAGCAGTTACCAGTGACTATTATGCTGACTAGACTAGACCCTTCTATATCTCCTGACTTAACCTACTCTATAAAACAATAGGTGAAGTCGTAAAGGCAAGACGTACAGAACCTTTCTTGAAGCAACTTTCATGATCTTGTTTGTCACCGCTGTCTCTACTCTACACGACCTCTGCCATGGTAGGTGACGTTATGAATGTGATACGTACACCCACTAAAAAACTATTAGGCACCCGTGTCATATTGTATCACGCCGTAAGGGTGCCGAATAATTTTTTAGTGGGTGTACCTCAGTTCAGCGACCGCTATGGCCCCTAATAGACTCCTGACGGGGTAAACAGGAGACGTACCTTTCTTGAGGTAACCGGTGTAGGAGACACAGTAGTTCTGGGACTCGGTACACTCCTGCTCGCTGCCCACACCGTCCAGGCAGTTGGCGTCCCTTAGGCTGGTGCAGTTGATGCAGCGAAGACCCTCACCTGCCGAAGGATGACAATCCGTCAGAATTGAGGCACTTAGATACTCTAAACACACTAAGTTAGTTTGGGGTTAACAAGGATGTACCTAGATTAGATTGGAGTTAACCGAGGTTGACAGCAGAGTATAGGATTAAGGTCTCGGCTGTTGTCCACACATTTACCTCTCATCTCAACAGCCAGCCTCGGTAACAGGCCTGAAATTATTAAACAACGACTCGGCCGTATAGAGGAAGAATCATTACCATGACTGTTTCAGATTACAGAGGGAATAAGGTATAAACAATGACAACTTTCAAGTCTGCTACACCTTGCCCCGGGTACACAGGTGCTCAGCAGGTACCTAAACAATTAAAAACAAGTTATTGTGAGGCATACCTGTGATACAGTAGATGGTTTCATTATTTTTTGTCTTAAAGATTCATTTAATATGTAAACTTTATTGCTGGAGGTTGAAGGATAGATGGCAATAATAATTAAGAAAAATTTACCTTTATATAATAGCAATAGTATAGTGAGGGCCAGCAGGAGCCTCATGGGTGTGTAGGTTGGTATCTTGACCCTGCACGCACGCACGCACGCACGCACGCACACACACACACAATTACTGTATAAAGCATCCCACACACTTGCGTCATGGTGACGTCAAGTCGAGTGTTTATATTTCCTAGGATTGTTGAAGGTGTTTGTTTGGCCTTCACTGTTGTGTTGTGTTGTGTTGTGTTCCTTAAAGTAAGTCATCTATTATAATCTGTCGTATAATGCCACCATGTCTCCTAATGCAAGGATTAAAGAATAAATTGCTTGAGGAAATACACCAACTTACAAAGACATCTTGGTTTAGGTTAAAAAAAATCTGGGATTAAGATCTGTTGGAAGGCAGCCCCTTACCCTCCAGTCATATAATGCCACTCACTTCTGGCAGTCTCCTCTTACTGTTCACACCTGCCACTCAGAGTACAGTCTTGCCCTCACCTTGTCGGTACAATTGTCGATATAAAAGACTCCTTAGTTAGTCTTATCCTCGTGTTTATTTAGTTTTAGTCTTAATGAACTAACACCTTGGTTGGATGGCGTCAATGCCTCTGTTTTAGTTCTCCAGGGGGTGTAGTAGCGCCCGGTAGAACCTTCGAATAGTGTAGTGAGTGAAGGATACGTGTTAATAAGATTTCCACGTTTGGTAACATCTTTTGTTTGCTCTGTTAAGCTAAAATATATCGAGTGTGAACAGGTTTTCGTAGCCTTAGCAGTAACTTATGTGTTGTCGGGGCACTAATGTCATTCTCCCAACCTCCAACGCTTACGTTTCGTGTATTACATTATCTATCACATAGTTTAGGCAATGATCCACGATTCATGTGGAAATCAGCTTTAGCCTGCCTAGAAGAAATTATGAATATTATTAAAGCCTGAATTTTTTTTTCCTTCGGTGTATGGAGGATAACTTTCCCTCCCTCCACATTACTGTCGCCCTCCTCACCAACATGAATGCGTCTCCAGGGCTAGATTTAGAGGGGGGAAAATAATGATAAACAATATTGTGTTTCTCGTAATAAACTGAGCTGACTGAAACACGTTGGGAGAGGAGGACTTGAGGAATGCTTTTAGAGGCAGTAGTTGAGTGCAGACAGCGTTAACAAGAAAAGTTTGTTGGTGGTGTTTGTGGAGCAGTAAGTTTAGATTAAAGAACCTAGGGACTTAAGCTACAGCTCTGGTATAGACAGACAGAGACAGACATAGTTACAGTTACGGCGCTGTAACTAGCCAACAACTTAAAGGACCAGGGAAGCCATTTGAATGTTTCTCTAGTTATGGATTCATTCACCCTGACGTCAGTGAGGTGAATAACAGAACAAGGTGATGTCTTAGAGAATCTGACTTGTTGTTGTTCTTCTTCTTGCTTCTGTTTCTTCCCCCCCTCCTCCTCCTCCTGCTTCTCCTCCTCCTCCTCCTCCTCCTCCTGCTTCTTCTTCTCTTCCTCCTGCTTCTTCTTCTTCTCCTCCTCCTCCTCCTCCTCCTGCTGCTGCTGCTTCTTCTCCTCCTCTTCCTCCTGCTGCTTCTTCTCCTCCTCCTGCTTCGTCTTCTTCTCCTCATGCTTCTTCTTCTTCGCCTCCTACTTCTTCTTTCTCATCCTGCTTTTCTCCTCTCCTCCTCCTGCTTCATATTCTTCTTCTCCTCCTCCTCCTCCACCCCCCCCCAAAAAAAAATAAAAAAATAAATAAATAAATAAATAAATACAATAAAATAAAAATAAATAAATAAATAAATAAGTAAAACTAGTAAATATAATAAATAAATAAAACTTGACTCAACTCAACTATCCATTAACCACACAAACAAATCACCCCTAAGCAATCCTACCACACTATAAATCAACGTAACCAACCTCCATACCTCCCCCCCCAAAAAACAAAAAACAAAAACAAAAAAGCATTCTAATCTCCGTTCACAATTTGACAAAAAAGCTCAAATCTGTCTCCTGCTATCACTAAAAACTCTCCTACGATACGCTCATCCTTCCTTACTACGAATACTTTGACATTTCAAACTCAAAGATTCAAAACTCTTCCTCCAACTCGCTCCGTTCCTCTTTGACATAGCTCTAAGACTTTACCTACACCTTTCTCCAAACAACTCTACAACTAACTACATTCCGTTTTCCCCTTCCTTGTCTTTTTTGAGTGAGTGGTGCCCATGCGTCCGCCCACCTGCGCTTCTCTGCTTGCGTCGTCGCAGTGGCGGGACGGTTCTTCCTCCGCTTCACCAACACAGCCTGAGCTCTTGACGACAAGCAGACCACCCACGCTTGGCCCGTTGCCAGCCCGATCCTACTCCCGCCCCCTCTCTGCCTCGTCCTGGTTGTGTGTTGCAGCACCACCCACCCATTTAGGCACATCCCCTACCCCTTCATGCAAGCGGTGTTTAAGCCACTGCACCTTTCCTCTCCTGAAATTCACTTCAATCCTCCCTTTATCCTTCCCCTGAACCTCCTCCCCCCTGTCACTAGCCTTTATGTTAAGTTAAGTTTCCCTCTTATTTGTCCCTAAGAAATACGTTACTTTCGTTCAGTGAGTCGACACAACCTTCCGGGTATAAGAGTGTTTCTGGGAAGACATATTAACAGAGGTTTATCAGGGTTACGGCTGCTGGTGGACTGAGAGAATTAAGCGTGGCTGTTGCAAACCTTCTCGCCCACTAACTGTCTCCCTCCCCTGCCTGGTGACCCTCCCACGACACCACCCTATATAATATCTACACAAGTGACACCCCGCCTCCCCCTAGAATAGATAACGAAGATATTATGTATGCAGACGACATCACTCAAATAACAACACATCAAGGAAAATCGCGAGCGTTACAGGCCGACAACACCAGGCGGGAATTAGAAAGGGTAAATAATTACGAAAAACAATGGAAAATCCAAACCAGTCTCCCAAAATTCACAGTGATACCCTTATGCAGAAGGAAAACCCATCCATTAGTAACCAATAATGCCCAGATAGAATACAAAAGCAGAAGGACCCTCCTGGGCCTACATATATCCACGACAGGTTACTCCCACCATGTCCACAGCAGGAAGGAAAAAGCAAGAAGAGAGCTGAGAAAACTATACCGCTTTAAAGCGCTTCCTGAGAAAATAAAAATCCGCCTGGTGACATCATTTATCACATCGATATTAACTTACCCAGCAATACCTCTTCATATTATGAGCACCATTCAAGTATTAAAACTACAGGTGGTCCAAAATGAAGCCCTAAGATTCGTCACAGGTGAAAGATACCCCTTCACCAGAACCACAGCCGAGATACATAGAGACCTGAGAATGAAACCCATCAACCAGTTGTACACCTGGCAAAAGATAGAACGATCAGAGCAAGAACTCCTTTGAAGACTCCCACCAGATAACGACAACAACCATACATGGTTCCCAAAATGTTGCCAAATCTCAAAAGGTCCGTTACCACCCCCGATCTACACGGCCAGGCAATAGACAACCTCCCTAGACCAACATCCACCAGTAGGGTCGGCGGAATATGAAATAAGGCCCTTAAAACACCCATGTATGGGACAGGGTAGGCTGTCTAGTGCCTGTACCGACAGACAATAAATAATCCATGACACAACCCTAACACACTATTAGCTTAGCTAGGAGGTCAGCTCACCCTCTCTTACCTCCTCCTGAATTTCTTCATTTTCCGAACTATAACTTCCTTCCCCCACCCCTAATATTCCTTCACCCCTCCTCTCTCTCTCTCTCTCTCTCTCTCTCTCTTTAAGAAAATAAAGTTCACCCTACAGCTGTGATCAGGTAGAGAATAGTGCGCCTGTAGCTCATCACCTGCTGGGAACATGTGCGTCTCCGAGGGATGAAAGGAACAGTCATCTTCCGGTGCTTAAACCTTATTCCTGGATCAATGACTCAGAAAATTGCAGTCTCTAAATACTGAAAGAGGGAGGGAGTGCAAGGGACGGAGTGTGGAGGCGTGTGGAAGATGTGTGGAAGGTGTGTGGAGGCGTGTGGAGGCGTGTACGGGCGTGGAAGGTGTGTGGAAGCATGTGGAGGGTGTATAGAAGCATGTGGGGGGCGTATATAAACGTGTGGAGGAGTGTGGAAGGTGTTTACGCGTGTAGAGGGTTTGTGGAGTGTGTGTGGAGGCGTGTGGGGGCATGTGCGGGGGTGTGTGGAGGCGTGTGAAGGGTATGCGGAGGCGTGTGTGGACGGGTGGGAGGCGTATGGACGGAACCGCTGGGTCCTTCCTCTGTCGGCCCAGGAAAATATTTTTTTAAAAGGCATTGAAAAAAAATGTTGACTACATGAATATTTTAGTCATAGGATTCAACTATTTCTCGGTGTGGGTGGGTCTGGATGGTTGTGGGTGTAGGTGGGTGGTTGTGGACGTAAGTGGGTGTGGGTAAGTGATTGTGAGTGGTTGTAGATGTGGGTGGGTGGGTTGGTGGGTGGGTGATTTAGGGTATGAGTGGATAGTTGTGGATATGGGTGGATGATTTAAAGTTTGGGTGGATGGTTGTAGGTGGATGATAATTGGTGGCTTTGGGTACGGGTGAATATATGATCTCGTTGTGTTTATTTAGGGTGGTTGTGGTCAAGGGTGGGGGAGGGTGGCGAAGACTGTCTAGTAGAATGGGCGGTTGTGGGCGGTTGTGGATTCTGTTTGGTTGTTGTGAGTGGAGTGGTGGAGGGCATCAAAAAGTGGTGGGACTTGGTAACATCGTGAGGTCCACAAATAGGGTACCACCCAAACGCCAGCAAGTCCTTCCTCATCGTGAAGCCAGAACATTATGAACGGGCAATGGAGGTTTTTGGCGGAAGTGAGGTCAAAATAACTAAGGACGGCCAAAGACATCAAGGCGCAGTAATTGGCACTACGGACTTCAAGACCGAGTACGTAGCGGGAAAGGTGAATGAGTGGGTTAGTGAAATGCAAGCTCTGTCTGAGATTGCTAACACAGAGCCATATGCGGCCTTTGCTGCATTCACCCATGGAGTCAAGCATCGTTGGAACTACCTGATGCATACTAGCCCTGATATCGGACTCCTCCTCCACCCTCTGGAAGAAGCTATCAGTGTCAAGTTCATTCCCAAATTTGTGAAACACCCTGACTTAACCCCAGCAGAAAGAGCACTTCTTGCACTTCCACCAAGACTGGGAGGGATGGGACTAACAAATCCAGAGGAGATTGCTGCCACTGAACATCAAAATTCACTTAAGCTCACGGCAGCCCTCACGGACCACATAATAGCCCAGAATGCAACAGGGGAAGTGGATACCAGTGAAATAAGTAACATTCGTAGGTCCATTACGACAGATCGACAGCACTGCCAAAATGATAAGATGCAGCAACTATTGCTGCAGGTACCAGAAAATTTGACAAAAAAAGTAGCTATAGCGCAGGAGGTGGGCGCCTCGAACTGGTTAACTACGTTACCGATAAAGGCAATTGGTTTCAGTCTTAATAAACAAGAATTTACAGATGCCATTGCTCTAAGGTACGGTCGGCCAGTAGAAGGTTTGCCCTTCCAATGAGTGTGTGGCTCTTCCTATGATGGCGATAACGCCATAGTGTGCAAGAAGGGGGGCTTCATATGCATGAGGCATGACGAGGTAAGGGATCTCACAGCAAATATGTTGAAGGAAATCTGCCGGGATGTCATGGTAGAACCGACCCTCCTTCCATTGGATGGTGAGATCTTCCAACACAGGACTTCAAACACATCTAACGAAGCCGGTGTGGACGTCAGTGCTCGAGGATTCTGGACGCGGGGACAGCGAGCTTTCTTCGACATCAGGATTTTTGATCCCATGGCCGCATGTCACCGTAACCTAGCTCTCGATGCTGCACATAGGAGGAACGAGAACGACAAGAGAAGGGCATATGGGGAGAATTCAAAACGTTGATCAAGGCAGCTTCACTCCTCTAGTGTTCACAACCTCTGGTGGGATGCGACCAAGTGCAAGATGTTTCTACGCCAGACTCGCGGAGTTTATCTCCGAACAGAAGCAGCAGCCCAGAAGTTATGTTACAGCCTGGATGAGATGTCGACTGTCTTTCTCTCTCCTTTGGTCGGCTTTGCTCTGCCTCAGGGGAACGAGAGCTTCTGCCCCAACTCCGACAACTGCTGCAGATATTGTCTATGAGGCTACAGTCACTGAATGCCGCATAGATCTGCGGCTCAACTAATTTAATACAGATAGGATAGCTACTTATGTATTAGGATATTTAATATTAAGGTAATTAAATGGTGGCGAAGGTGTGACTATTGGGGGAAAAATGGAGGCCACGTTTCAATTAAAAAAAAATATATATAAAAAAGTAGTAGTAGTAGTAGTAGTATTAAGTGGTATTAGTGTATCGTCAGAGAGCTGCATCCACTCCCAGGACTGTGCAGGGGACCAGAGGAAGCCAGTCAACCATTTCCTTCCTTCCTTCCTTCCTTACCCTGAACCCAGGGAATGGGACAGAAGATGAATAATGGAGTCCAAATATAATTAATGGTGAGCTACAGAGGAAGGGAGAAGGCATAGGGAGTGGTGAGAGGGGGATGATGGACGAGAGTCAAGGTGCTTCTCCAATCTTGTCTCCGTCTCACCCACTCGACACCTTGGAAATTCTGTTCGTCACTCGCATTCATACCTTGGCACCTCCTATATACGCTGTGTAATTTATGGTGTAAAGGGTGGCCGCCGCTTCTACTCCCGTGTTAACTGGCCGCTTCTACTCCCGTGTTAACTGGTCGCTTCTACTCCCGTGTTAACTGGTCGCTTCTACTCCCGTGTTAACTGGCCGCTTCTACTCCCGTGTTAACTGGCGCTTCTACCCCGTGTTAACTGGCCGCTTTACTCCCGTGTTAACTGGCCGCTTCTACTCCCGTGTTAACTGGCGATTCTACTCCCGTGTTAACTGGCCGCGCTCCCGTTAACTGGCCGCTTCTACTCCCGTGTTAACTGGTCGCTTCTACTCCCGTGTTAACTGGCCGCTTCTACTCCCGTGTTAACTGGCCGCTTCTACTCCCGTGTTAACTGGTCGCTTCTACTCCCGTGTTAATTCCTCAAGGACACATTACAGTTTAGCTCATCCAATAGATATCCAACAACATGCATAAAATATTCCTTTAATTTTCTCAATAACAGAATTGCAAAAAAAAATATACACGCCTATACACGCCCTTCACAAGCCTCCACACACCCCTACGCACCTTCCAACGCCCCTACACACCCTCCACACGCCGCTACACACCCTCAATTCACCAAATTTTTAGGGGAGCCAGTTTATCTGGACTCTCGCTTTAAAGGGACAGAGTTAGAAACCTACTCCCCTTTTTTGACATCCAGTGAGATGTTTACCTGAGACGGATATAACAGATGGAGGTATCCCCCCCCCAACAACAGTATAGTGACGGCCTGTGTTATGGAACTGGTACACTGCCTCCCTCCCACTCCTCTCTCTCTCTATTCTCTTTATTACTGTAGTGTGTGTGTGTGTGTGTGTGTGTGTGTGTGTGTGTGTCACTGTTTTACGTGTCTGGATGTATGTGTGCGCGCTAATTTTCTAATCATCATTAATACAAACTATATAATCTACGAGACTCTGTTCCTTAAATAACTCCACTTACCCTTCTTCCACTTACTTATTTCTATCATTAATTCAATACTTCTATGGACAACTCGAAAGAGAACATGAAAATTAACCAAAAGTATATATATGTATGTATTTCTTACCACTAGGAGCCTCAGTACAAGACTCTTATATTCATCATCAATATCATCCAGTTAAGAGAAAAGTGAAGAGGCGATGAGGTGACTTACCTGGCGGGATGATCACTAGCAGGAGGAGGAAGAGCGGCATCAATAGTGTCGTCGCCTGCACCACGCTTCCTCCACACATCCTGCACGGGGTAGAGAGGAGAAGGGACAGTTGCCACTTATCCCCAACGATATCACATACACTACAAATTAACTTAGGGACTTTTTTATACATGCAGTGAATTAATATGTAATAAAAACATTACATCAATAGAACGTGATAGTATTTTATTATGATGTATAAAATGGAATTAGTTAATTTTACCGCCACACCTACCCGTTAAGTACTGTACTGCGGGAAGATGTTGTTTAATAATACGGGCGTTAGTATCGTCACTCACACTGCACTCTTGGTACCGTCACTTACACTACCGTCTTGGCACCGTCACTCACCACTGCAGTCTTAGTATCGTCACTCACTCCACGATTAAAGAAGTCTAGCGTTACCAGATCCGCCAAGACATAACCCCAAGTGTCTCTTCAACGTGATCTTTCTGCCACGTTAAAAGTGATATCAACGTCAGGGAATACAGCAGGTCACACACACACACACACACACACACACAGGTATGTACGCCCTTCACACACCCTCTACCTCCTCCCGTGGCAACACAACACCAGTTACAATACTTAGATGAATACAGTATAGATGTATGAGTGTTGAGTGGTAGATGTATGAGTGTTGAGTGGTAGATGTATGAGTGTTGAGTGGTAGATGTATGAGTGTTGAGTGGTAGATGTATGAGTGTTGAGTGGTAGATGTATGAGTGTTGAGGGATGAGTATTGAGTCATCCCCTGAGGTGCCCCCCGTGCCCTCACCATCGATCCTGTAGCTGTAAACAAAACCCTAAAGCCCCAACACCGAATAAAACCTTTGTAACTCAACGGTTATAAAACTTTTGTTGTCTTTTCCGCCTCACTAAATCCCCCCCACCGCCTCTAAACCTCCATCCCGCAGCTGGATACTAGATCTTTGTCCTCGTCAGTAGTAATATGTAGAGTGATCCATCAGGTGTACGGTAGGATCTATTCTGAATGTTTAAAGGGAAGATATTAAAGCTGCCTTAATGATCTTAGAAATGTGCCGCCGTGGTCGAGTGGATGCGGTACTAGCGTACTTGTCTGGGGTTCACTGGTTCGCTCCAGATGCAACCCAAGTCGATCTAGGTGTGGATGGGTCTGTAGCTCTACAGTTTGGAAAGTAAAGTTGGTCGAATACGGTTATAACTACAGTGACCACTTGAGTACCGACAACATGAGGCGTCTTTCGTAGCGGCTGAAGCATTTGCTTCACCTGGCCAACGTTAACATTGCCTCATCCCGCACAGACCTGCAGTAGCCGCCTGGAGGCAAACATTAGTGGTGATAAAATACCATCGGCGACTCACTTGCTGAAATTTTGTTTTGTGGTAGAGGAACACCTTTAATCTACGGTAGGCTGTAGGTGGTATTGAGGGGGGGGGGGCTGTGTTACTTTATTATCATGGGAGCCTCACACCTGTACACCCTAACGCGCCACTAAGTCAGTCAAGTGTGTAGCGTTGTATAGCGGCGTATAGCTTTCCATAACTCTACTGAAGCTCTGGCTATGCTTTGGTGAACCCTTGTAATATCCTCACGACCCACTCGCCCTCCCGTTCATATGTGGCTTAATAACATCAAGGTAGGTGTAATAAAATCATTGAAGAGGAACGAGAGATCCTACATAGGATTTCTGATGAACATTTTTTTTTCAATTTAGTCTTAACACGAACGTTCATATCGCTGTACACGTCACGAATTACACTATAATCGTTTCAATTATTTTCGCATCAAAAACAAGGCAAAACTGAATAATTTTAATTCACATAACGTTCTTTGAGGAAACCCGACTCTCTTAAAGACAGTAGCAGGCCATCTATGTCATGCTTCCGGCTCGTGTAGAGATTCCATCCGGCCTACCCTTACCTTGGTCAGATGGCGCTTAATTTTCCTCAAATGAATCCAGAGAACTTACGCAAAATTAGATGACTTAGTTGGGAAAAGATCCTGAAATGCCTCTGAGCCGAGTGTGAGGCTGCAAGGTAAAGGATAGCTTTTATCCTAAATGTGTTCTGATGTAAAACCTTTCGAGATTAAACTTGAAATTGTCATCAAACAGCAGATGCAGCAAACTTGTGCCTAACTCCTCCCTAGTTGCAAGTGTTCCAGCAGATGAGACCAGCACGTCCTTACCTCAGGCAGATTTACTTATCCTTTAAACGAGACTCAAAGAGAATTTAGGAATCGGTTTTGAAAGTGAAACAGTTTTGCCAGAATATAACGTGAACAACAACAATATTGACAGGGGTGAACTTCTCGAGTACTGGAGCTCTCTGGGAGGACTTGTACAAACACTCACATATTCCTTAGTTCCAAGAATAATTGAAGTTGAATTAAATGAAGCACCAGAAATTTATCAGTTGAATCTGAACGACTTACAAATCGACGATGCACTCGAACATGTCTTTGATGCCAGCGATCTGATCAAACGTCACGCACGCCTAGCCCTCCTGACTCAACCTTCACTTATTTCGGAGAACTTGTTGCTGGCATCACATGACTGCAGTTTTAGGGGAGACGTATACCTGTGCCTAGACCTTCACCACGATGAGACCAATGAACACTGCAGAACTGTGAGTTTTACTTCTAGGATAGTGATAGCGAGGCTGTTTACATGAACACAAACTTTCACTGCATATATATACAGCGTAATTTTACTGGTGATATCACTGGCATTAATCATTGTAGAAATATTCACTGCAGTCCAGGTCGTGTTAAAAGTGCGAGGATTTAAACTGCTCACAATGTTTTGAAGCTACATTCTACCGTAACTGTCGTGTCTACCTCATCACAGAAAACGACAGCAATTGAAGACACCTTAGAAGAAAACCCTAAATTGTATCACAGTGCACACGAAGCTCCCTCCATAACCTACCACTATTGTCTGGATATAAAAATGTCAACACACGTGTTGTTTGCAGTAACACTAACTACCCGGAGGAGCAGCTGTACTGTACTGAACATCAACAAGAACAAGACGTTGTAAAAACAAAGAAGTGAATAAATGTTGTATGACTCCGTCACCAGTATTGCGCTCACCAACTTTTTGCAGTTCTCAAATATTAATTACATATTCATTAAAAGACTGAACTCGTATTTTATCTTCTACTTTGGACGGACCATGTTACCCGCATGGGCGACAGTAGACCTTACAGTCACACACACATACTTCATCCTTGACCACCGAAGGATCAAGACGTACCTGGCGCTGCTCTGGCAGCAGCCAGGTCAACTGTCATGTTGGCCCATACCAACTCCCTCCCCTGAACCTTCCTCCCCACCGGAATATCAACAAGTTCTCGCCAGAAGTTACTATTTCATTTAGTTCCTTTTTCACGTTCCTTGTTTCCTTACGCTTTCCCCCCCCCCCCCCCTCCTCTCCCATCATTTCCCATCCCCATCATTCCCCTTTCCTTATTCACTCGTTACCTCAGAGGATTGGGAGAGGAGGGAGAGGTAATGAGGACGGAGGAGGAGAAGGATGATGGAAGCGAGAGGGTGATGAGAGGGGAAAGGTGTGAGGGACGGAAGGTGAGGAAGGAAGGGGGGGTGGAAAGGTAAAAATAGAATACAAAATAAAGCAGGAGTCAACGATGTAAGTGGGGGGGGGGGTTGATGGGAGGGTATACACTTAACAGGTACAGGGTAGTAGAGAGCAGGAGGTGGAGTGTACATATTTTAATGAGGGAGGGAGGGAGAGGAAAGAGAGGAGAGAGGGGGAGGAGAGGGAGAGAGAGAAGAGAGAGGAGGGGAGAGAGGGAGAGAGAGAGAGACAGAGAGGAAAGAAAGTTCCAGGAAAGGAAAGGATTGGCAGTGTGAAGGGGGTGGGAGGAGGTAACAACCGAAGAGGAGGGGGCAGGGAAGAGGGGGGAGGGGAGAGGAGGAAGACAGAAACAAGAAGGAAATAACTAAGATAATTAAGAGGGAGAAGATGCTGACTGAAGAGGTGAGGGAGACATTCATGGGGAGAAAGTGGCGGGGAGTAGGGGAGGAGTAGGGGTGAGGTGTGCTGGGTGAGAGGGAGGAGGAGGGGTGAGGTGTGCTGGGTGAGAGGGAGGAGGAGGTGGGGTGTGCTGGGTGAGAGGGAGGAGGAGGGTGAGGTGAGGTGTGCTGGGTGAGAGGGAGGAGGAGGGGTGAGAGCTGTGATCTGAGAAAATGGAAGCCTGGGAGAGGACGTGAAAACTGGCCTTAGGATACTAAAGGCTAACACCTCCTTGTGAGTAACACCTTGTGAGTAACACCTCCTTGTGAGTAACACCTCCATGTAACACTCCTCGAGTAACACCTCTTTGTGAGTAACACCTCCTTGTGAGTAACACCTCCATGTAACACCTCCTTGTGAGTAACACCTCCATGTAACACCTTGTGAGTAACACTGTAACACCTCCTTGTGAGTAACACCTCCATGTAACACCTTGTGAAACACCTCCATGTAACACCTTGTGAGTAACACCTCCTTGTGAGTAACACCTCCATGTAACACCTCCTTGTGAGTAACACCTCCATGTAACACCTTGTGAGTAACACCTCCATGTAACACCTCCTTGTAGTAACACCTCCATGTAACACCTTGTGAGTAACCCTCCATGTAACACCTTGTGAGTAACACCTCCAGTAACACCTCCATGTAACACCTCCTTGTGAACACCTCCATGTAACACCTTGTGAGTAACACCTCCATGTAACACCTCCTTGTGAGTAACCTCCATGTAACACCTTGTAGTAACACCTCCTTGTAACACCTCCATGTAACACCTCCTTGTAACACCTCCATGTAACACCTCCTTAGTAACACCTCCTTGTGAGTAACACCTCCTTGTGAGTAACACCTCCATGTAACACCTCCTCGTGAGTAACACCTCCTTGTGAGTAACACCTCCATGTAATACCTTGTGAGTAACACCTCCATGTAACACCTCCTCGTGAGTAACACCTCCTTGTGAGTAACACCTCCATGTAATACCTTGTGAGTAACACCTCCATGTAACACCTCCTCGTGAG